AGGCAGGACACCATCAGTTATCCTGCAATTATACTTAATAATTTCAATATCTATGTCAATCTCGTACTGTACACATGAGAGGCAACAATTTTAAGTGTACTAAGCCACAATGTAGTGCAGACAATGGAAAATTCTTCTCTCGAAAGTAATATTCCTATGGTACAATCTGTCCTTCACAACCAATAAAGCCAAGAGCGTGCCATTATCTAAGACACTGGAAAACCTAATCACTGGAGCCCGAGATCCCCATAGCAGTGGTACACAATAACACAAAAGTGTATCCAGTATAAGATGTTCGTTATGGATCATTGGAAACAACCTTTCTTTATATATATATTTTTTATTGTACAGTAGTATTTGGTGTTTCAGATGATTATAGAGATTGATAGTAAAGTACATTAAATAAGAACACAAACTTGAAATATTTGCTGTAATGTCTTCAGTGAATGAAAATGTGTCTATAATGCATTTTTATTACGTGAAAATTAATGTTATCCTACAATGTTGCTGATTATGATTCATGATTAATGATAATGGATTTATCTAATGATGATAATTAACTCTTATAAATTGATCTGATAACCCACAGCACTTGAAAAGTTAAATTTATTTTCATTAGCTGTACAAATAAAAATTCCTATTAATTTGCATTAAATATTTATGGAAGTACTAAACAGACATTTGTATTACCCAATATATAAATAATTATTTTCAAAGCACTTCCCTAGTATAAAAAAAAAATTGTTACACAGACTCCTCAGGATAATACTTAACAACTGAGAGGCATGTATATGTAATTATGTACAAGATATACATAAAGAGTTGTATATGCAAGAAGGGTATATCATATGTTGAGTGTCTCAAACACCAGGTAGAGGGAGAGAGAGTGAGTCAAGAACCTGCTGCAGCACCTGGAACTCTGAAGAGACTTTTGTAATCTTTATTTTATATAAAGTCAAACATTAGGTACATGCTATATACTTTGAAAAGTGTATATAATCATGCTGTACACAAGATATTAACTTATGATTGAGAAAAGCCCTATATAGATCACAATCTATTTGTAATGTACACCTTACAATAACATTCAGTTACTAGTACATGCAGAACTAGAAGCACCATTCAACACCTTAAACTGAATCATTAGTTCTACAATATATGAATGTACAAAAAGAGTTGGTAAGTCACTTTGGAGATTGTAACATCATCAAGCCTGCAGGCATTGTGAGCTTAAGTCACCTGCTGTTGTATGCCTCTCATAACACAGTCTGTGCCTGCACTGAAATATTGATTACCATGTAAGACACAGTTCCTGTCACATGTGGTTAGTTTTCACTTTGTTGCCATCTGGCAGTACAGTATTTGTTTGAGGTTAAACAGCCTGAAATGATCTGTACTAAATTCTCACTTGGCCTTAAATAACTCCAACCAACCTGAGTAACTTTTCTAGAGTTGGGTCCTAAACATGATTTAGTTCATTCCACATTTAAGGTAGTCTAGTCTGTTAGCCTCTATATAAGCACTTCAAAAGTGCACTTGCTACTTTAGACAACTATTTTATAACAAAATTGTAAACACACACTTGAGTAAAACAATTTTGTACTGCACAACAGTTGCTAAACCTTCAGTGATTAAATAAACTTGTCCATCACAGAATTTACAATATGTTTCGTTTGACAAAAATATTCCTGCTCACTGATTATATAATTAACAATTTGTCACGGCACCATACATTACAAAAATATGGTGTGTGCTATTTAGGGTTAACCAATTAATTTTTTTTAACTTTCTCAACATTATTGTACAAGGAAACAATATAACTTGTAGCACAAATTTGTTAACTTTAACATAATTAAAATGCAAATTAACAAAAAATTTCCTATACCCGACTCGTCCACTGTCAGACATACGAAACAACTAGTGTCTTTGTTAATCAAGGCAGTCTTTAGTAAATTTTCTCCCACGACCTGCTTTTAATAAATTATTGTATTAAACTTCCCTGCTATATACAGTTTCATTACCAGTCATTTCATTTAAGAGTAGAAAGAATACTAGTACCCTTTTCATATCCTCCTACCAGTTCCAAGACCATAGGAAATTATAAAATATTCACTTGCACACACATTACAACCCTGCTGTGTGTCTGAGGAAGTTTAGAAACCTCTTCAAGATCCATTGAGCATTTCATGTTATGGAGAGGAATCATACAGAGCTTTACAGGTGCGGTGCGGCCTCTTTAACATGAGCCAGCTCTGAAGGCAAGACAGCTGGTTCTACCTCTACTCCTACCTGTACCGAGGCACATAATCACAAGGGGGCAGAGCGGTATTACAACCGCTTTCTCATATGAAATAGATATAGTAAAGATGATGTTTACATGCAAGAGCTCAATCGAAGAATGTAGCATGAGAACATTTGTAAAGCTCAACTAAAACTATTTAAGGAAATATGTATATATATATATATAGTATACTGTAGAAGCTCGATAATCCAGAGGCTGCCAATCTGGAAAACGCCCTAATCCAGCAAAAATTGTGGCCAGATAAAGTTATCTCCCTATCCGGCCAAAATGTCCATAAAAGCCGGACTAGTGGATATTTGGCCGGATCAGCATATACCGATAGAGTTTTGAAGCCTAAAAATCTATCCAAAAACAAGGTCAACTTGCCGTAAAATATATCCTGTGAACCTTTACCGCAGTGATAAGCAAGTGAAACGCCCAGCCTAACACTCGTGTACACCACCACCAGGAAAGGAGGGAGCAGGCAGGGTTCAGGCAAGCTGGGAGGCTTCATGCAAGCAGGGAGGCTGAAGTAATAGTGAGGTGTCATGAGTGGGTAAGAGAGTGGTGGGGTGTCAGGAATAGGTGTCAGGGGTGGGTGGGTGCAGTTGGTGTCAGGAATGAGTGTGGTAACCAACCACACCCACCACACTATACCATACCACCCCACCCACCAGGGTAGGGTGGGTGTGGGGGAGGAGTGAATTATATACAAGAGGAATGGTATTAAGCCTACTAGTGTGGCAGTCGGGTCTCTTGTCTGACCCTCTGGGGTCGTGGCTCAGTTGTTTAATCATTATATTTTTTTCTTTCTGCTGTGGAAAGCTAGTTAAAAAATATTAAAAACCTCACCATAATATTTGAAAAGTATTAATTGGCATTTACAAGAAAAAATGGGATTTAACACAAGGCACATATTATGGTGTCATCGTACAGCAAGTGAGTGAGCATGTTGTCATCACTTGTGACAAGGATTAGGAGGGTGATGGGGGAGGGGGAGAGGGTGGATGGATGTATGGGTAGGGAGAGTCACCCACCTGCTTGTGTTGTGTGGCTGCACATGCCCGACTGTTCCTGCCCATCCAAATTTGCCTACCCACGTACTCACCCATCTGGCCCCCCAACCCACCCACCAAGCACATCTGCCTGCCATCCACCCATCCAGAACCTGCTTGCTCACATATCCACCTGCCCTGCCTGCCTGCCCACCAAGCCCAACTGCCTGTCATCCACCCATCTGAACCTGCCTGCCCACTCACCTGCCAACCACATCTGCCTGCCATCCACCCAGCCATCTAGAACCTGCTCGCTCACCCACCCACCTGTCTGCTCGCCCACTTACCCACTTTTCTGCCCGCCCACTTGCTCTGCCCACCTACCAGCCAGGCAGCTAACCACCCACCCAGCCCCACACACTAATTATAGTGAGTGGCAATTCAAATTATGTTATTTGTGGTACAAACATTTTTGGAAATGTTCACTTTTGAACGTCCACGGTGAAAAGACAATTAATCCGGAAAACGGGTTCATCCGGCAAGGGGTTCTTCCCATGTAGTCTGGATTAGTGAACTTCTACAGTAGTTCTATATACAGTATAATAAAAATAATGATAATTCACACATGTACTGAAAACTTAACAGATGAATTTAAAAATATGAATTTGGCAAATAAAACTAACTACAGAGGCATTGATATGAGATAAAGACATAGGGTTAGATTCTCAAAGTTCTAAATGTGAGATAGTAAGACTAGAGAGATTCAAGTATACATCATGAGATATTGACAACTCATAGTCAACAATGTTACGTGCTCATGCATTTACCACATTACAGTACTGTCCTTTGTAATGTGGACATGTGACAAAGCAGTAGTCACTTGAAGTATATATTAGTCCTGCTGTATATCTAGAGCTGTCCAAAAGATGTTACAGTAGATGAAACAATTACATACTGTATTGTATATGTAGTGATATGTACAGTGGGACCTATGAATCTGTAACTCGATAAACAATGGAAATTTCAGAAATTTGGAAACCTATTGCTACGAGGAAAAAGAATAAATCCAGACAATATTTCCAGATTTCAAGTACTCTATATAGGTAAAATTTTGCCTGATGTGACTTTAATATTAGTCGACAGTACTTTAAAAAAAAAATATCGCATAATGGGAATACGTCAAATACAGTTTCGCCTATACCTGAGAAAAAGACATATGTAGCTTACAAATTCTTTACACAATCTTATACATATTGTAAATCTTGCCAATTAAAAACTAATTTACACAATTCTGGACTTAATATTTTGTAATTCACTACTTTTTATAAATGACAATTCAATTATATTGGTATAACATTTACATAACAATTTTGCATGAATTTGTCCAGTCAGTTGAATTATTAGAATATTTTCAAGTGAATAAACAATGCACTTGACTCCTGCCGTGTGGTCCTCCTATATTTGTGTTTTTATTATTTTATCCGGGTGTTTGTCACTTACTCCATCACAGAATTTATTTTTAAAAATTTCATGAAAACATAAACAGAACCTTTACAACTACTGTACTAGGGAAATATCTATAAATTTTTTATGATAAAGATTCTTTTATGCTACATTATATTAGATTGATCAAAATTGTTTTGATATTTGTTAGTTTGAAGGTCTTTGAGACTCCCACTTTGGAGATTTCAATACTTTTCACTAAGACGATCCTTTGAAATGCATTAAAGGGGCAAGCTTTCAAACTAAGGATACTATTAAGAAACAACAATTTGTTAAGATTTGTTCCTTCAAGCAATTCCTAAGAAACTTCAGCTGACGTTTTAGTTTGAGACTTAAGGCTGAGAGAAAAGCTGCAGCAAGCCCTGGAGAACAAGTAGAAAATACTTGCAAGAGGCACAATGTGTCCATGATGCAAGAATAACAATAAAAAAAATTAGATTTAGTTGTAAGAATCCACAAGAATTTGTAGATGAAATTAGTGCTATTTATCCAATAGGCTTCAGTTTAATATAACTGAAGTCTTTTACTGACAGTCAAATTACTCAAGATACGTTTAGCTTCAAAAAGAAACAATACAATGACTCTGCAATTTCATGATAACTTCAATGAAATTCTTAAATTGCGAAAACAATATAATATCACTGTTGCATTTAGGAATTCTATCATAAACACTGATAAATATTACCCTAGTAATTGTAATGGTTTATAAAATTACATGCACAAATTTTATTGAATTCTATGTTGGACAAATTGGCAGTGACCTAAACCATAGAATACAAGAACAAAAATATTACATAATGATCGGTCAAGTGTATTGTTTAGTCAATCAAAATATTGTAATCATTCAACTGATTGGACTAATTCATGCAAAATTGTTGTGTAAATCGGTTATTACAAAATGTAATTGGATTTTCATTTATAAAAAGGAGTGAATTAGTAAATATGGATTTGTCCAAGATTGTATAAATTAGATAATTTTAGAACTGGTAAGATTTGCAATAGGTATATACATTGGGTAAATCTGCAGCTGGGTCTGTGCCTATAAGTATGGGTGAAACTGCAGTTGACCTATTCCCATTATTCTATTTACACATCACTTTCCTATATTATGTTATGACCTCAATAATAATAATAATTAAAAAAGCCTAACGTGTATGAATACACTCAGGCTGCCTGTCCCCCAACAGAGAATTATTATACTGTATACCATATATGTATGATATGTACGTATGCACAATGAAATCACATTAACGTGATGTATTTATGAGAAAATCAGTAGGGAACCTTGAGAGATTCGAACCAACACACTTTGTACTCCGAAGTACACGCCCTAGACATGTGCTTGGGAGTCTACACATGGTAACACCACCACAAGCTCAAAAGCAATTCAAACTGATATTCAACTAAACCCTCTAGGGATCCTGAGGCTTCTACTGAAGCCTAATCAGGGTTTCATGCATTGTATTGTATGTATAATGCGGTATATTTGTATACAATTGTATGTGTGTATAATCACCCAAGTGTAGTTACAAGACGATAGCTATGCTCGTGGTGTCCAGTCTTCCCAGTACTGTCATAAAACACTTTAAAACTACTGACAATTTTGACCACCACCACCTCCCTTAACTTGTTCCAACCATGTACCACCGATTGCAAAAAAAAACTTTCCTAATATTTTTTTGGCACCTTTAGTTCCTTAGCTTGAATCTAAGGCCTCTTGTTCGTGAAGTTGCTGGTTTCAGGAATTCTTCTTTGTCAATTTGGTCAATTCCCATTATTTTTTTTGTAAGTGGTTATTAGTAATTACCTAAGTGTAATTACCTAAGTGTAGTTACAGGATGAGAGCTACGCTCGAGGTGTCCCATCTTCCCAACACTCTTTGTCATATAACGCTTTGAAACTACTGACGGTCTTGGCCTCCACCACCACCTCACCTAACTTGTGACCACATGCCCTAGTGGTCTAGGGCATGTGCTTGCGAGTACAGTACTAAGTGCGAGCGTTCGAATCCCCCTCATGGCTCCTACCAATTTCCTCAGTGATACATCAGGTTAATGGGACGTCATTGGGCATACATACATAAAGGGAATATATGACAATAATCCAAGCACTTTTGTGATTTAACCTATTTTGAAGTACAGTAGTCAGATAATACTAGGGTGTGGGCTTATAAAACTCCAACATGTGAGTAGACTAAGAAACAAACACAAAACCGGAAAGTGATATGTAACTTGAATATTGGGAATAGGTCAATTGCAGTTTCACCCATAGTGAGTGAGAGAGAGAGCAAGCAAGAGAAAACGAGAGTGAGTGAGCAAGCGCATGAGTGTGTGTGTTGTTAACTAGTTGGGTTTGCAGGACTGAAGCTCCTGGGCCTGTGCGCATGCACACACATTTTTATCCATGCTAGTGTATTTGATCTCTTGTTATTTAAAGGATTTTATCAAAAAAATTTCTTTAGAGACTGCTTAATTTGCAAGTAGAAAAGGTGTATGCCAGCAAGAGTAGTTTGCCTAGACTACATAGGAGGAAAATAAAGAATCTCAATATATACAATAATGCTAAGTAATGGCAACTGTCTAAAGATCAAAGTCAATATGGCTAAATAGCACGATAATGCTAAAATTTATGGGAAAAAAAAGCAGTGAGGGAGGAGGATGACCGAGGAGTATGATGCAAGTAAGCATTAGTATGGTTTCTAACATTTAAAAGAATGAGAAGTAACAATTGCCAGAAGAGGGCGAGTTCTGGGAGGTAAAAGAAATGACACGTGCACTCGGTGGTTCAAATTTTGACAAGTTAGATCAAGGAGTTTACAAGAATTAATGGGATCTTAAAAAGGGAGAGACTGTATAGTTATGTTTGTTAAATTGTCAATATGTGTAGTGTCTAAATATGAAAAACTAGGTTTAATATTAACTGAATAGAAATAAACCAGGAAGCTGTTTAGAATGATACAAAGTAGTGCATATTTTCAAGGCCACACTGTACAGTGTATGTATGAAGAAAGTTTGTGTATGTGCACACATATGTATACAGGTATATATTTATACTGTATATATAATATACATATGCAAGAATCATCATGAAAACACATGATTCAACTACACAGAAACCTAAAATAATTCAAGCATTTTCGTGTATTAGTATACTGTATTTTCAAGGAACGTGAGTTAACTAATAAACATATACCATAAGGAAGTGACAAGTATAGGTAAATTGAATAATGGGAATAGGCCTTCTGCAGTTTTATGTATCCTTATGAGAATAGGACACATACATTTTAACCCATTATGTTCATTTTTACATAATTTTGTACTTATCACAAATCTTACAAAGTATGAAACTACATTTATACAATCCTGGACGTAATTCACAACTTTTTATAAATGAAGATTCAGTTATATTTCTGTCACTTAACTGATTTAGACTAATTATTTTGCATGAACTAATCCAGTCAATTGAATGATTACACTCCCTTTAAGTGAACACTATATGACTTAACCTGTTCCAATGTTATTTGTGTTTATAATTTTTTTTTTTAGTCTAGGTGTTTGCCAGTTTGTTTATTATTTATGATAAATAATTTATTACAAATTTTGAGGGAAATTTCTAATCATAATTTTTATATAAAGCTTTCTAAATGCCACAATGATATTAATTGTTTTAGTAATTTTAAAATTTCACTGAAGTTATCATGAAATTACCTTTTTGCATTCTATTCTTTATCAAATTATAAAAAAGTATTAAACAATTTGACAATTCTTAAACAAAAATGTTTGGGGTATTTTAAATTGAAGCATTTATGATAAATAGCACTAATTTTATCATTATAAAATCAAGACAACATATTCTTAGAGCCCTTCCTTATGTTTGTTTCTTAGTGTACTCACATGTGTGGGGGTTATATATTGTATATAAGGTGACTAATTTCATCTTTAGCAGTGATAGAGAAGAATCTGAAAACTTGAGGAAGGTGAAAAGGTCACCACTAGAGTACGAGACAATAACGTTTGTGTAAATAATATAGGAATGGAAGTCCATGAATTTGTAAGTATCCTGCCTACCACTTGTATTATAACTCGTCAAAGAATTTATTTGTGAATTCAATAGTCTCAAATCTGAGTACCAACACAACATGCATCTTCACTGTTTGTGCCGTTCACATTCCTTCAGAGTATAACATTAAAGAAATGGCGGTATTGATTATTCCTTGAAAAATCACAATTTTTTTCTGTGGTGTTGATAACTCAACCCATCCCATCCTCCTGAAATGATAGTTCTTATAGTAAGCATTTGGTCAAAGGTGCCAATATGTAGTGATGGATCACCAGTAAACCACTTTTTATACTATTAATTTTACAGTCCAGAAAAAATAAAGTTGAAAACCAAACTTCATATTCCTAGGCCTATTATAGTACATATATGTACTCTATTATTATGCCTAAGAGAGCATGATTTAGACCTAGGATTGCTAAGAAAAGAGAGGAGAGGTTTTGTATTTATGTTGCAACTGAAAAGTGCTTCCGGTTTGTCAAAATTTAATAATATGAAATCAACTTTCTAATGGTCCCAAATTCAATAATACGAAAGTCAACTTTCTACTGGTCTATCACTATATGTGTGCGTTTTCAACCACATACTTATTACAAGTACAGTACTTTCATTTTTGGAGAATGGGCCGTGATAATCGGGTACATGTACCAATACCATTTCACTTGATTACGACAACACACTCATCCAGGAACATGTACTGTTACCATTTCACTTGAATACAACGACACACTCATTCAGGCACATAAGCTGCAGCAGCAATTCCTTCAAGGGACTATATACAGTACAATCAACTGGATTTATATTCCTTAATGAAACACCACAAATCTGAATGTACTCAAGGCTTTACTTGCCATGCCAGGACAAATCTGCTCTTTATCCATCTCCTTACAGTATGTTCACTTCCTCAGACTTGGCAGAAAGAGATGCAACAGATGATCTGGAGGAAAAATGTATACTGTATTAGATATAATATGACTAATTATATGCAGGCGATGAGTCACAATAACGTGGCTAAAGTAAGTTGACCAGACCACACACTAGAAGGTGAAGGGACGATGACGTTTTGGTCTGTCCTGGACCATTCTCAAGTCGATTGTGAATGGTCCACAATCGACTTGAGAATGGTCCAGGACGGACCGAAACGTCATCGTCCCTTCACCTTCTAGTGTGTGATCTGGTCAACATGACTAATTATAATCCAAAAAAAGTATTATTCAGCAACATTAACAATATCCATGTTATACTTCTTCACTTCATCTTTACCCCATATCTTTACTATACTCCAACTTCTTACTATTACCATTTTTTCTAGTTACACACACTTCATTATCTTCTTACTCCCCCTCTTTTTTGTTTTAACATGATCTCGTCTTTCCCGTCTTCTAGTTCCCATTTTTTGTAACTAAAGATTACTCATGTGACTTTTACATTAAGTATACACATCATACAATATCAAAGACTGCTGACAAACCTTGAGGTGGCATGCTTGAGGCCTGAAGAAGATTCCTGGCTACTGACTGAAGGAGAGGACCTGCTGCCCTTCTTGAGAACCCGCTCAAGGTAGGCAGCTGGAGCCCATCCTTCATAGGGGGTCCCAGAAACTCTCACGTACCACCAGCCAGCACAACCCACTTTGATGAGATCGACATAATCTCCTTCTCGTAGGCTAACCTCTGATCCACCCATGGCATTATAGTCTGCCAGCACCAGGAACCTTGATGATGTGTACTGGAGAAAGAAAAATGTCTTTTACAAAAATTTATGATAGTGTACATTGTAATCTTCCAAAACATTTCAGCCCTAACACAAATGCACCTTAGTTTTTATGAACAGGAAACAAAATTCAGGCTCTAGATCTCCATATCACATTAAATGTGACAATGACTGACTCTCCAATCTACCCACTACTACTAAGTGACAAGGTCAATTCATAGTTACTTATTACAGTGAGGTAACATGTCAACCAGAGTCTGGCGTGTGAACAGTATCCTGGGTACACACAGCCTAGGTTAGCAACCGAGAGTCTGTGCTTGGAAAAAAGCATTCCTACTGATGTCTGACCAATGATATAATTTAAAATACAGCTGGCAGCCTATTTCAAAAGCAATAACCATTAGAGACAGTGGTCAGAGTAAATACAGGTAAAAAAATTATTATCTTTCAAAAACTGTACCTACAGGTAGATAGGTACAGTTCAAATACAGATACCCATCTACCTACACATTCCTACAATATTTGATTAGTCACCTCTGTACTCTCGGAAAAGGTTTCCTGATCTTCCTCTTCATCCGATGCCGAATAATCTGACGACCAGCTCTCCTCTTCCTCTTCTGGAGCATCACCAAGAGTAGCATCCACCGATCTCATCATACGTGAGGAGCGACGGCCACTCTCTCTGCTGCTGTCTCCTTGCCGACCCTCAGAACTGCTGGAGCTGATGGAACCACCGCTCCCACTCATCCCATTACCAGCCATATCCCATGATGCTGTTTGCCTTAGAGCTCTACAATTATGGAAAAATTATATGAGCATTCTGCGAGCTGCAAGTGATAATCATTTACTTAATATTTATCATACGTGTATTTAAAAATCAAAGTATTGTTATAAATTATAATCTGCATAAGTACTTGCCTATGCTGTGTTGTGGGTGACAATGGTGGGATTCTAATGCCATTCAGACTTGCACCTTTTTGAATCCTTGAGGAATACTGCTTAATATTTTCCCCTTTTAGGTACTCAAATTGATCAAGTAAAACACGTTTTATTTCTTTCACCCATGTTTCTTTTACTTCCACTGATGGGGCAAGGATAATGTGAACTTCCTGTCGTCCTTGAAGCCACACCTCAAACTTGCGCACATCACCTTTATTGCCACGTACGCTCTCCGTTAGCCCAACTTGCGACATCTATTATATTGGGAAAAAATCATGAAAAGTATCATTTTTAATTAAAACTCCTTCCCTGTTCTCAGTTTGGATTTAACCTTATTAGCTGTCTAAAAATCAAAGTTCATATAAGGAATTCTAAACAGTAAAATACATTTACTAATGTATATCCTAAAAACTTTAATAATTCAAGTCACAAGTTTATGGCTATTAATATCAGTTGAAATGACACTAAATAACTACTGTACCTTAAGAGCATTTTTGAAATGATATGTAGCACGATCTGTGTCTTTTCCAGCACGCTTAGTGAAGAGTAACACCTTCTCATACAGAAAAATGTGTCTCTGAGCAGGTTTGAGCCGTAGCTCTCTCAGTCCCTTCTTGCTCTCATTCCACACGCTGAAGGGGCCCTGCATGAGCAACTTACCGAGGTCTGCCAAGTTACCCTGGAAGAAGAGGCAAGAAAAATGTATTACGTACAATGAAATCACTAGAACGTGATGTATCCAAGAGAATACTGAAGCTGTAGGACTGAACAAGAATTGTATTAAAATCACAGAAATTACTACAAAAGAATAAGAAAAAATCCTTTAAAATGGAGTATTGACAATGAATGAATGATCCTAAAGAAATAACCCAACATTTCTTTAGGATAAACTGTCAAGAAAAATACAAACCGAAAGTCGCTCCTCTTAATTATTCTGTACTCACAACCAGGATCAAGTTCAATATTTACATACTAGTTTATTGACAACCTAATCATTCCTAAACAGCTGCAAACTTTCATATACAGTACTTATTGCCTGTAATTGCTGCAGTACACATAACATCCGCAGATATTTAACCCACAAGAGCTACGAGGAGAGGTTAGAGGCATTAGATATGCCAATACTGTACTAGAAGACAGAAAAAACAGAGGCGATATAATCACTACATACAAAATAGTAATGAGTATAGATAAAATTGATAGGGAAGAATTCCAAAGACCTGGAATTTCACAAACAAGAGGTCATTGATTTAAACTAAGCAAAGCTGCCAAAGAAACGTAAGAAAATTCACTTTCACAAACAGCATGGTAGATGGTTGGAACAAGTTAGGCAAGGTGGTGATGGAGGTCAAAACAGTCAATAGTTTCAAAGCGTTATATGACAGTGTTGGCTAGACGGGACACCACGAGTGTAGCTCTCATCCTGTAACTACACTTACGTAATTAATTATTTCCCCGTGTGTTACTCTTGAGAAACCTGACGTCAACTGCAGGATATTGAATAAAAGATTTCTAAGCTACACATGGCCATTTTACTCCCTATAATATCATGATTATTAATAATTAATTTGGTTTCACTCTAAGAACTAGCAAAAAATAATTTTCCTTCAATGGAGCTTCAGTACCCTTTCAACCCCTCTTCCCCCCCCCCCACACACACACACACACACACACACACCACAGTCAGTAGTTTCAAAGCGTTAAATGACAAAGAATGAGTAGACAGGACACCACGAACATAGCTCTCATCCTGTAACTACACTTAGGTAATTACACACACACACACACACGAAAAGTAGGGAAGAGTCAAAATTCTAAGATCTTTCTTTATATGGGCTTTTTCTTTCATTAGCTCAATAAATAATAACCAGTACTAACTTACTGGGAAGCCCACAATGGCAACTTGGTGCATGGAGTCATTGAGGCACTTGAGAACTGTGAGCATTGTGTCAACCGCCTCCTGGAGTTCCCGTCGGCCTTGGCTACCCTCCACACATTTCAGCAAATCCTGTATTAAAAAAAAAAATAAGTAAAGAGTGTAGTTTAAATACTAATCACTGAATAAAAAAAAGCTTAAAGTTAATATGAAAAGCACCTTTTTGCGAGGGACTCCCTGGTTCTCTGTGGTGCTAGCCATGGAGTGGGCCCCACCAGATAGCAGTAGTTTATTACATTCAATGCCGATTTTCAGAGCTAACCATTTAGCTGCTGCCAAAGGCAAGATCTGTTTGTACCGGCAGGACAAGATCCTGTAGTCAGGCAGGTCGTGATTCTGGCATTGATGCCAAGAGTAACTATGTTTTCTTCTGTTTAAGTCATAAAGATGCTAGTCACATGTGAAGACTATCCATAAATGTGGATGCGAAGAATAGAACTCTTAGAATATAAAAGTATGGGATACAAATTATTTTATACCGAGACAGATTAGATTAAAATGGAGGGACTAGCATTATATACGGTATGTCAGAGTGAACGAGTGAATTGGTTTTACACTTTCTGGGGTAATACTTGATATTGACCAGACCACACACTAGAAAGTGAAGAGACGACGACGATAATGGTCCAGGACAGACCGAAATATTGTTGTCTCTTCACCTTCTAGTGTGTGGTCTGGCAACATTTTCCAGCCATGTTATTGTGACTCCTTGTCTGCATAATACCTTATACTATATGAAAAATAACCTAATATATGTGAATGGTCAAGAAATTTTAACAAACAAGTTTTCTAAAGTGATACATAATGATAAAGACATGGACAATTTTGGATTTTGAAGCTTTAGAGTTACAGTAACTGCACTAACTATACATATATAGAACTGTATTTAATATTGACAATAAAAGCAAACACAGATTGTTTTTAGGACGAATAAATACATTTAACTATAACAATGGTACAGATACTGTATTCACAAGCAACAAATCGTGGTCAATAATAAAATACTTAACCCTCCCACTGCACAACATGGCTGTGGTTGATGAGACTAATTACCTGCAAAGTTCATGACACAGCTGGGGGCCATTTTAAAGTACAGCGCAAGATTTAAAAGTCCTACGTATACACGGGGCTCACATTTGCTTCCTCGGGCTTCCAGTAAACACACACTATCTTGAGACAAAATTGTATGCATGTCTCATGGGTGTGAGGGCCTCATTATTAAGAGGGTGACTACTATTAGCACACATTGCAGCAATTCACAGCACTGCCGTGCAGCTTACAATCACAGCGTTATTTGACACTAAATAATCGATTACTTTACAATAAGTGTCATACAAGATGCTGACTGTGATCAAGATTATGTACAATGTTCAGATACAGTACTCCTGAACCCAATACTGGTTACACTGCACACAGCACACAAGTCTATCTGGATAATCCACCCATCCACACTGGATGTGAATGTCTGGAGGCGGACATTCACAGCACACGACCACAGTTTCATTCATCTACACATCGTAAAATGGGACCTAATATTCGTTTAGAAAAAACTTGTGGAAAATGATTCCTAATCATAATTTAGTGAATGGATTCTGATGATGATTATGATAGCAATATATTGAGGCTAGAGATAGCAATGTAGATAGTACTATAAATTGGAGGCATTTTGCTGTGTCGAGTGGTGTCACCTGCTTGTATCGTGTGGCACTATTTGAGCTTGGATTTCATTGCCACACCCACTAGAACTGCATATTGGTTCATTGTCGAGCATAAAAATGTAGGTATATGTGAATTGCAATAATATTGTAAGGAAAAATATTTGCTAAAGTTTTACATCTTACACATACACACACACAAACCTACCCGAGTGTTACATCATATAAACAGGGATGCAACTCAGGGGTTAAAGGAAGAAGGATTTTGGTAATAAAGGATAAAAAACGTGTTGTTCCCAATGAAAACTTACTTTTCATCGTATAAAATGACACTAGGATGCACATACAACATTATGGTCAATGGAACAAGTATCAAGTCTAGCCACAAGGACTGCCTGACCTTCAGAAGGAGTTGGTACTTTGTAATGCGTTGCACAGGTTTTAGAAGGTAGGCACCAAGGGGTAGCTTGTGGTGGAGACGACGTTGACATTCTTTGAAGAAAGGGTTACTGTCGCCCACCTGGCGGCGCAGCTCTTCACTCTGGGGCTTGTTTTGGCAGTACAATGAATAAAGTCGATGGAATGAATCTTTCTGCAGAAAAATGAGAATTACATTTTGCAACACTGTTACGAAAATAAAAATTGTATTATTGCGGCATATACATTTTGAATTCAAATGCAATATTATGGGATCATAGTTTAAAAAATTGGGATGTAGCAACACCGTTGCCCACTATAAGTTAATGCAGCAAGTCCCTCATTTCCACTAAAAGTAAAAAAAGAAAAGTCATTTCATAGGACCACACCTGTTCAGGCCCCAGAAAGCAAAATAAGATTTAAGATTCATATGGCTGTGTGAAGTATTAGAGGAATGAATGAGGAACACAACAAGTTGCAAGTGATAAAAGTCTTTAAGGAAGTAAAGATTCAAGTGCTAGACTTGTGTCAAAGATAAAAGGAATGAATACGGGTAGCCGAATGGAAGCAAATATTATACGAACAAGTGTGTGATTGTAAAAAAATATTTACATCACTGAACGGCCCTGGAAGCCCAGAACATTTATGGTCAGGAATGTGCAGAGAGGCTGGACCGCTTTAGTGTTAATGAATGAAGAATGATATAGAGTGGGACAACCACAATGACCTGGCTGGTAATTTACAATACCATATGAGAGTGGGAAACTGTCTAAGGAAGCAACAGATTAGTTTCAACTCGGATAGCAATGATTCTGTCATCATGTACAAATGTTTTGAATCATCCCCCCCTCCCCTGCAGCATCTCTATCAAAACTAGATTCATTTACTAAATTTTATTACCTGCACTTGTGTTGAATTTATTTTGTGCACGTTTTTGGGACACATTGTACTGTAGTATGCCTTGTCACAGTCAAGATCCAAGCTTGGTTTGTCAAGGTCTTCCTAGTCAACGGCACAGCTGTGTCGACACTAAGTTAACATTTTCCAGCAGATAGAATGCACTATTATAATTAAGATTAAGCTCAAAGAAGATGCACATTAAAATCAACAAAATATTCTTGTAAAATAGAGGTGCATCTTAAGCAGTGGCATGTTCTATATGCCGTAAAATATGGTACTTTCTTTAACTTTAAATCCTTCTAAAATCTCTTAATGCTGAAAAAAGCATCTATTTCTATTTATTCATTTTTCAATTGCTAATTCAAATTAGCTCCCTATTAAATTATTTAATGCTCTAGTTCAATGCATGTCCCATTGCCAGTGTTCCTACGTGTAGCAGTGGGTGTGTCCACAACAGTTCTTATATACTGTACTTCAAAAGAATTTTACAGCAAAATACACTGACAAATCAACCGTCAAAGAAAGAATTAAAATGTTGAAAGACCTACCCTTTGTACAAAGCAAAGACCAATGAGCTCTGGGGTGTTGATGCAGTTCTCCAGATCCCGTAGGAAGACATCATTATGGAAGCGGAAGATCTCCTCCATATTTCCAAAGAGGAGATCACTCTTACCATATAGGTTAATTGGGATCAGAGGCTGCATCTCTGGGTTTAGCATTTCATCTTTGTACCCCTAATCATTTTAAGGGAAGAGAAAGAGTATTATTTAAATATGAAACGGGCATTAAACTCATTGTCATTTGCGTATTTTTAAAGTTAAAATGTTTGATTTTTTCATATTTAACAAAGTTCCCTAATGTCACATACAAAAATGTATATGCCCAAAGACCTGCTTGTGAGCTATACTCTTCACCTTAAGTATCGAGCAGAGTTCCGACACATATATTCTCTCGGTGTCCAGAAGCTCACGGAGGACATGGCCTCGTTTGGCTCGTGCTGCCTCAGCGTCACTTGTCCACTCTGGTGAATCCCCGCTGTCGCCGAGCTGTTGATGAACAAATCACAGGATTACACATACAAGCATATAAATGCACACATTAACTCATGCAACTAGAAAGTCTTGTGTAACAAATTTATGGAGACGTTACAGGAAAGAGATTATTGAAAGTTGAATACATTCATCTGGACCCCAAAAACAAAAAAAAAAAAAAAATTTTGACAGTTCCAAACAAAAGCTGTTCTGGAAGCTGTAAACACCTGCGGTAACAGGACGACTACCGACATTGATAAAACATTTTCCGACAGAAAAATGAGGCCAATGATTAAAAGAAAATTCATCAGGCTGGAGAAATGTCACTAACAGTACAAAAATGTTCAGTACTGGTGCCTATGAACAAATGAATGACTGGTGCCTATTTTGTTCATTATTTACACAAATGATCTACTGGAATAGAATCAAGGTTACATGAATGCGTTCTCAAATGATGCTAAGCTACGGAACAATAGAACACGTGGATAAATGTTACGGCCTTCAAAGTGACTTGGGAAATAATTTAATAGTAAAATTAAGCAGTAAAGTAAAAACCAAAAGTTAAAGTAAAGAGTACCTAATTTCACCTTCGTAGTTTCATACCTTGTATTCCATACACACACTGTTCTTGTTCTACCCTCTTCCCTAGTATTAATACTTAAGACTAAGTATTTAATCTTTACCAGTGTAATCACCTCTGTCAATTTATATTGTCGATATAAAACATTGCTACAATGTACTTTTTCCACCTTACCTGATATGTTAGATTAAGGACCTGCCCGAAATGCTGTGTGTGTGTTAGGGGTTTTGCAAGAATGTAAAAATATCACTAATGTAATCTCACCAACCCATTGTACCTTCTTGTAAATAAAATTATTATTATTATTATTATTATTATGAATAGAACAACACTTGGCAAGATGAAATTCAATGTGGATATATACCATTAATCGAATGTCGGATAAGAAAACCAGGCCACACTCATCTTACGATTTATGAGCCTTGTTTCTCTCAGTGTTGTGGAGTTTCACGCCCAGCACTAGGAGTGTCAAATCATTCTTTTGGTCCAGGGAATCATTTTCTTGGCTCGCAGTTTCCCTCATTCTTTACTAGGACTGTGGCTTCAGCATTCCAGTGGGGGATCCTTTGGTTCACAACACTTGTTTGTCCAACTGGGAGACATCTGTCCTGTGGCTGTGGTGCAGTAATCTTTATGTACTTCTGGTGCTGTGGTGGTGGATACATTGTTTGGTAAATTTATTTCTGATATTCTTTGTTCTAAGGCCTGTCCCTCGTATGTCATCTGTAAAGTGGTTCTGTACAGCCAGCCAGCCTGTGTATTCTCGCACTCATGACATGCAACAGTTGGCTATTGTGACGATTTATCTGCCAATGTGTCCACGGTTAATTTCCAAGCTTGAAGCTTCTGGTGGTTCAACAACATTGTGTTACTTGCTGGATGTCCATCAGCCTCATTGTGCCTATTGCACTTGGCCACTAGTCATTCACCTGAAATTTTTCAGCCCATGGCCCTCCCATCCTGCCATTTTTCTTCTGGAGGTAAGCCTGGTTTTTCCAGTTATGCTAATTTTTCCTTTTCTAGAACAAATTGAAATCCTGTGTTTAAATCTCAAGACTGACACAAATAGTTGGGTACATTTCCTATCACCTAATGCCCTTCTTCACCTTATAGTAAATAGGTATCCAGGAGTTTGTCAGTGTGTTGTGGGGTTGCATTCTGGGGAGGGTCAGTAATTCAACCTTGGGGAGAATTTGATACAAGCCTAACATGTACATAAGGCAGTAAATACTGTATGCTGTACTGATATTAATAACATTTACAGTATATTTCTAGTATATCAAGGTGATGTTCAACAACAAACTCATCAGGTCAAATGGGATGACCTTTGACAAGCCGCTGGCTTCCTGTCCTCATCAAGGTCACTTGAGTATTAGTGGCCCTCGGGTAAATTCAGGTAACTATACACTGTCTGCCTGTCCCCTGACACAATGAAATATCATTTTATTTAAATAATTAGAGCATCAAAGATCTTGCAAATACTGTACAGCTAATTAAAATACGATTAACCATTATATAATTAATATTCAAAAGACAACAAATTAAACAAAAACTTGATTGATAGCATATAAAGTTTAGGTGTAATTCAAATAATGTTCATTCCAAAAAAATAAAAATAAGAGACAGCTCAAATGATAGACCCTTCAAAAAAAATTACAAGTAAAGGGAGAGAAACAAGTGAAGGGAGACAAAGCAAATGTGCACAAACAAAAACTATTTACTCTTGGTGTTAAGTAGATGTGAACAACCCATTTTTACACCGGTGTAAATAAGCTCAACATGTAATAGATGTTCAACCCGTAATCACACTTTAATGTGCTTCATGTTACGTGATGTTCGAGAGCATCTAAAGTGAGGCAGTTTAATGGAATTTAAGGAACTTGATTTGTTCACATTCTCAGAATAACGAGCACTGGATACACACAGAGATCACACTAACGTGATGCATCAAAAGGCATCATTAAGGCAGTGTCTGGGATGCTCCCGGACGCAGGTTCGAATCCTCGTCACGGCCCGTGTGGATTTGTTCATTTGAGCACTGGATAGGTTATAGATGGGGTGTTTATCTAGCTCTGTATGCTCCTGGTAAGGCAAAAATAACTTCTAATTACTGTAGATATGATGCTCATCAAATTGTGAGAACGGGCTGTGGAAAATAGTGAGGTGCTCTAAAGAAAAAACATGAAAACATTAATATAATACTTTGTTGATGCTTGACAGTATTTACATCAATACCAAGGTGGTGCTCAACAACGTCTACCTCATACTGATGATTAACAGTACAGTATTTACATTAATACAGATAAAAACCCACACTCTTGTATTTTATGTAAAGATGTACGCCAATTCTTTTTCACCGTCTCAAGTGCTTTATCAAGATCCGATTATATAGTTAGGACGAGACTTTTAACGAATATATAACTTATATCCGTTATAAGTCGGATATATAACTTATATCTCGACGGATAATTCCAATCTTTACATAAAACACACGTACACAAGTGGGGGTTTTATCCTATAATACCAATACTCATCAGCATTTCATTACTTGAAGAATCATAACAAAACCAGTAGACTCAACAATAGGCGAGATCTTTCTACAAGCAATACAACATCTACTGTTCAGCAGTACTTGTTTTCTTTATCACTGCTTGAACAGAAAGATAGGGTAAAACTGATAATCTGTCAGCCTTAAGACCTCGGATTCTTTTTAATAAAAACACTAAACAAGGAAACTTAAGAGATTTACTTTCCAAGTGTAACACAAATGTTTTTACAAACATATACAAATGAGGTGACATATACAACAATAGCATCCAAAACTTAATTTTGGTTTACAAAAGAAGTCACTAGACATGGAGGGGGGTCATAAAGCAAAATGAGAATTAAGTGAATGTGAAAAGCTACTTTCTGAGCAAGATAATGCTCCCTAAGGCAAGATCATGTAATGTCCCATTGGACAGGATCATGACAGTCAGGAACAGAGTGATTTTCTGTTTCCATACAGCCCAGAGAAATGCCGAGCGACTCAAAATGTTCCGACTCACGATCTACTTGACATCATAGGGATCGCTAAATGGAGTAGTGCTCTGACCATAGTAGAGTAGTGCATCCTTGCCTTAAACGAGCATCCAAGTAGAATAGCTCCGAGAGACAGAGAGAGAGAGAGAGAGAGAAGCATTCCACTTTTTACAAGCAGAATGTTGTGAAAATAGTGACAAGTACAATGACACACTCCCTTTTTCAGCTGCTCCCCAGAATGCTCCCCGAGTTAGACCCATTATGGTCAGCTCAAGTTCTTCTCAGTCTTGTCCCCTTGCATGCCAATTCTCTTTGTAAATGGTGGTGTTAAGAAAATTAGGAAGACATTGGGGTGTACAGCATAACCCATTGAGGGACCAGCTCGATGTAAAAATGGGCAATAAACTCGACACCTTTGCAAGCGGTAACAAAAGAAAAGCTAATTATTGATATGCTTGCTACTTGTTAATAAATACCTGTCAACACCAGGTAGTAGCACTTGCCACCATAATTTAACACATGAATGAGTTGAATAAATGAACAAAATTGTAATTCTTTTCTTTTTTAACTAAAATGAACAAATAATAAACAAGAAAAAAGAGGAAGAATGAACAAGAGCCCCTTTCTAGACATCGTCAAGCCAGGATCATATAACTACGGGTACTGTATTTAAAACTGTTAGGTCGCCAAAACCTGAGCCCGAATACCAGCCCCTGAAAATGTTGAAGGAAACAGCAACCAACACTCCCTACTCAAACATTATGGACCCAAGAGTAGACCACAGGCTGGCTAGCATTCTCACCTGAATATAAGAAAACCTTGCCCATAAAACAGCAGCTGCCTGGTAAGCAACGTAATGAGAAGCAGGTTTAGAGAATGGAGACAATGTGTGCATATGTTACAGCTGTGTCAAAGGTGTCAGGGACCGAACAGGAAGCATGGCAGAAGCAGAAAAAAATGATCGTCGACTAGTAGCAGGACTGACAAGCAACCTTCAAACTCGCAAGGAGCGAGTGCAGACTCAACAGGTCGATCTATAACGAGCTATACTGTACCGAGTTTGAAAGTGACTAGCGGATCTAAACACTCATGCACTAAGGCTGCTTGCCCAATGAACAGACCCAAACAGCCTAATGGTATCATCCACATCAGTAACAGGCCTGACTGTGGAGGTGGCTGTTGACCGGGATTTAGACCACTTGGTGGTAGTCATTGGTACTATCATGAACTAATTGTTTGGGGGAGTTGTTTGGCTGTTTTGACACTGTTTCCTATGAACCTTACAGGTCACAGGTGATGATAATAGTCGTCCTTTCTGCACCTCTGAAAGGCCAGGTTCTGGCTCCTCTTTGGCAGGCCTCCTGCAACTGATGGCTCCCAACTACTGGGGTCACATCTCAGTAAGATAGATTTAGGAAGCCACCATGAAGCTCCTCCCAGAACGGCCACTCTACACCCTGATGTGAACCATGAAAGGGCAGAGCCACCATGCAATTATGCATAGAATTGAACAGTAGTGGCTCACCAAGTGCATAAGTAAGGGAGGGCCTATGTCAAGATACAGAACTGGTACAAATCCCAGGGTATAACACAGGCAGTGGGACAACTCTAGGAGCCAAACCAAAGTTGCATCTTCAGGAAAGATTTCTGGAGGATGAAAGGTATTTGTCAAAAAGCAGCATAGACAATAATGTTCAAACACAACCATAGCAAAAAGCTGTTATTGGTGGAATACAAAAACCAATTGAACCAAAAAAAATATCCCATGTACTGAGTCAACAGTCTCAAGGAAAAGCTAACCTCACCAGGAGTGTGCCAGGAACGTCACAAAGTGAGGTTCCTGGCACTCTCAACACTGCTTTGGTAGTAGGAGGTACCACCTGGAGGCAGCTGGGATAGCTTGGTTTCTAAACAGTAGTTAACAGAGCAATGATTGATATTCCTTGGGTGTTGCCAATTTTTGTCTGAAGGAAGTGTTTTGTTTGGCAGCAAGCTGAGCCTTGGCTGTGGCTTGACAGATTTCCATTCTCTCTTTCTTCCCTAATTTCCATTACAAGACCATTTGCAAAGACCTGCATTTGCAGTGTTGAAATCTTAGTGGGGAATAAAAGTCTTAGATGGACTATGATAGGTCTAGTTCAGGGGGAGATCCCAAAGGAACTCTCCTCAAAATATAGATAAACATTTAACAAATTTACAATCATGTTATGGTGCTAGTAATATTTTCAATGCGTAACACGGTCTGAGTTACGTGCTATAGCCTCGGCAGTGCATCAGTGAAAGGATACTTCAACATCCATTGGGTAGTGTGCGAGAGAAGAAATGTATTCGCTGAACACTTACGTTTGCCGACTGTTTCATGTGTACATTCAAAAGCTGAAGGTTCTGAATGATCTGTGGCCCCAAAATGTATATCCCAGATGAATGTGATGGAATGGCAGTCTCATCTCTCAAAGATCCATGTGCAAAACTCTCTCTTCTTCTTAAAACTCCCTTTTGCTGTGCCCTCAATGAAGCTTCAATAATTGGCCTGCAAAAGTCTACATCTTGCCCAAGACAGACTGTTGCTGGTCTGGGTCGACGCTTGACGCTTTGGCCTCCCGGCTTCAAACGTAACATCTATGCCAGGGAAAAACTCATATAATTCAGATGAAGAAAATATTCTCACAACCCAACCCCCACACACGAAATAATATGAAGGCGATGACGTTCGGCCTGTACTTACTGTACTTTATACACCCTGTACTCTTATCAATTCATGATAATGAAGAGTGTGTTATTTGTTTCAACCACATGATTGCAATTCATTATCTTCAAAAAACAACTTTTCGGTCCGTCCTGAATCATTATCAAGCCACACTGCTTGATAATGGTCCAGGACAGACCGAAACATCGTTTCTTCACTTGGTTGTGGTTTGTGGTTGGTTGATGTGTGGTTTGTTCATCGTATCTTCAGCCATGTTACTGTGAATTCTTAACAGCAGTTAAATTTGTAATGTACAGTACGTATCTCCACATGTACCACCATTTACACATCAATATTTTCAACTTGGTTGCATTTGGTTTGCAAAGCCTCAAATGATTTAAACATTTTTTTGCCAAATGAAACATAGTACTGTAATTTAATACAGTAATTAATACATAATTCTGATGACTTTTAGTGCAAAAATAAAATACTAGTTTTATTGAATCTACCAAATCTTTGGACCGATTCTGGAACATGTTTCTGTAATATCGCAGGTTTTTAAATGTGACTAATACAATTCATCACAAATAAAAAATCCAGTATTAAATGTAATGAAACGACATTATCTGGTGGGGTCCTTTAATGGCTCCCCGAAAGTAGTGGGGGGGGAGGGGCCTCCCAGAAAAGACAAATCTTAATGTTATATAGTTTTTAAATTCCTTTTTTTTTAATAATGATTTCATTATAAAAACACTTCCCCGACTCAAATTCTATAAACAAATTGTATGACAAACTACACATTCATTTTGAAACTTAATAATGTGACCTTGCATATTTTCCGTTAAGTGTTTTATATAAAGTATCTAAAATATTTTTTGGAAGCAAATTATTTTAGGAGTTTGGTTATGGAATCTTTGAGGACATAAGACACATGCTATTCCATTATTATTTGTGTAAGGCATTGTACATCACAATATTTTCCTCTGAAGAATGTTTATCTTTTTCCCATGTCAAGGTTAGTGAAAGAAAACACCTACTGTAATATGTTACCATATCATCAGAGAGAAACAGAGAGAGAGAGAGACTGCAGAAAATATTGCATACATACAAAAATTCTTTATTCAATAGTAGATTTCAAATACTTTGAACACGGTCCTCACCTTTGGTAGCGTTGAAGCCTTCCTCATGCTCTTCGGAGACTTGGGGAGGTCGGCGTGTAGCGGGGAAGCTGGGTGGGAGTGTGGGTGGGAGCTACCGCCTTGTCCTTGGGTGTAATGGAAAGGTACGGCTGGTTCCGGCGTCACAGCGTGCACAGGACGGGGCAGGCGGGTTGCAAGTTTCTTCAGGGAACTCTTTCGTTTCTCACACATCATTTGTACATCTTCTATCCGTTTGAGCACCTAAAATCAAATTCATACGAATGAACACGAAATGTAATGTAAAATACTGGAGGATGCATAAACTTTTATGCATATTATAGAAAATGAAAAATGAAATACTTTAGCACTTTTGTGTATTCCAGTACATCTTAGGAAGTACAGCAAGTGTGGTGAAGCCGAAATGAGTGAGAACAGTACGTGAGAAGTGGAATAGAGCAGGGTTATGTGGCAGCAGTTTAAGAACACCCTACACTACTGTGTGCACCTTGTCTCATGAAGGAGCAGGACACTGTTGTTTATGATCTGCTAGAGAATACCAGTGCTAAGTCCATGTGATACATTGTAATGGTCAAAAAGAAGGAAGTGTCAATTTTGTAATAGATTTACCCTTCTTTTCCTATACTGATGCCTTATTTTCTCTGGGATGATGCCTGACCATCCCACAAAAGTGGGATATGTAGTAGTAATGACAATGAAGGAAATAACAAGAACAAATCTACAAGGGCCGTGACGAGGATTCGAACCTGCGTCCGGAAGCATCCCAGACACTGCCTTAATCGACTGAGCTACGACAGGGTTAAAACAAATCCACAAGGCCCTTGTGGATTTGTTCATATTTTATTTTATTTTATTTTTTTTTGTTTTGAGATATATACAAGAGTTGTTACATTCTTGTACAGCCACTAGTACGCGTAGCGTTTCGGGCAAGTCCTTAATCCTATGGTCCCTGGAATACAATCCCCTGCCGCGAAGAATCGTTTTTTCATCCAAGTACACATTTTACTGTTGCGTTAAACAGAGGCTACAGTTAAGGAATTGCGCCCAGTAAATCCTCCCCGGCCAGGATACGAACCCATGACATAGCGCTCGCGGAACGCCAGGCGAGTGTCTTGCCACTACACCACGGAGACTGCTGAAGCATCACGAAGATTTGATGCATCACGTTAGTGTGATCTCTGTGTGTGAAGGAAATAACCTTACCTGTTGCACCAGACCCTTGGTCTCGGGGGTAATGACATCTTCGAACATTGTCTTCAATTCCCGAGAGCTACCTAGCCGACTGTGATCTGAGGAGGCCATAAACTCTTCTAGTTCTCTTAAGGCCTCCTCTGCAAATTCTGGAGCTTGGCATCTCTCAATTTGTTGCGATGCTAGGAGTTCTACCCCCTCAGTGCACCATTTGTTGGCCTATAATGGATATAATAAAAAATTTATTATTATTATCCTTAAATTTCTAACAAAAAAAAAAAACTTTAATTTTAATAAAATATATTGTAAAATATATCTACTTAATAAAACAAAACATATTTAGATCTCCAAAATAAGAAGCATGCAGCCACAAAGCCACCAAGACCATCACAGCCTGGTTGGTTAGACAAGTGTAAAAGAAAAAGAAAACTTAGTTCCCCATGAAACTGGAGTATCTATAGTATCAGCATTATTACTTCCGTCCGTCCATCCATCCACTCATGATCATGTCCCCGTTTCCCACTTTCATGCAGTGGGGGATGCATCAGCCCAGAGAAAAATGGTGAATAATACTGTATACAGAAAGTGATTAATGCTAAAAGACGAAAATATAACTTTTATTCATTGAATGATTCACACCAGGGATAAACAAGCACTACAACACTACATCAGTCATCAACAGCAGCATCTCACTTCATAAGACCATGTGTAGTTAGTTATGGTAATTTCTTCTCACAGATATTATAACATAGGATAAAAACCCACACTTGTGAATGTGTGAAATTTTTAAAGGATATAGGAGCACACAAAGCCTGGTCCCCGAGTCTTGCTAACATCTGTGTCAAGCTATTATTAAATATTATTATTATTATTGAGAGGAAAGATGGAGGTACGGTGAAGATGATTGAAGTGGATGGGAGCTTAGACTGTAGCTGACAGGAAAGTCTGAGCCATTATTAATAAAACTGGAGGTTAAAATATAAGGACAATGTATGAAAGTATGGCAACATTCACACTGATAACCAATGGAAATCTATCGAGACGAGGTATGCTCACATTGTGCGCAAAAAGCTACTTACTCTCTCGATTCGTTCTTGAAGGTCTCGACACTTGTGTAAAGTTTCGAGGCGCTTGGTGATACGGTCATGGAAAGCATCTCTCATCCTTACTAATTCTACACATTTGGGTTGGATGGAGTCAACTGCATAGTGTTGGCTCTCGATAAGCTGGGTGCCGATGATTCGCAGTTCTTCTGCCTTCTCTAGCTGATCCTGTTGAGATGTTATAAGAGTATAAGTAACTATTATATTAATCAACATGCACTAATAGTCTACCCATAGTAAATCATAGAACAGAATATGCAGCACAGCAAAATGAAGTACCCAGTACACAAAACCTTACATTGAAATGTACATGTTAACCCTAGCAATACGATCTATAATTTTTAAAGATAAATTTGATTGTAAAGGTACAGGATGATGGGAGACCAAGAGGGATAGTAAGTGGACTGGCAGGTAGGTTAGAGAATGAAAGCAGACAAATGAACTTAAACACTTACAGCAGTGAGCATGTGGAAATCTTGAGCCTCTGCTAGCAACTGGTCGACATGTAAAACAGAATCTCCAACTTCAGACATTCCTGACAGCTGCTTTAATGACACCTCCAAGCATGTCTGACAAAGTAAACAAAAACTGAATGAACTCTATATCAACAACAACTTGGATGCTGACAATCGGTACGTGTATTATTTTGAAACAATACACAGTTTAATCTGGAACCTGTTCCTATAAAGCATCAGCTCAATAAATGTTGCATTACATCACGATTCTAAAGATTTTTAGAATAGCAAAATATAGAATTAATAATTCACAGAGTACACTACCTGTACTCACAACAGCAGAGGTTCATAGCATTTAATATGTAATACTGATGGTGCTTGTCGCATATATGCATTCAGTATTGTATGAATGCACCTTCCACAGAATTATTCCAGCTAAAAAATGCTATAAAATTTAGTTATACTGCTGAACTCAAATGGAATTAGCTACTACATTTAATGACTTCAATAGTTCATTAAAATGACTTGCCCACAAACAGTTTTGTTGGATTACGCAATATCCTTTTTTATACAGCTCACCTGCAACTCCCTGAAGTCTGTCTCAAATCGCCTCAGCTGAAGACACTGTGTGAGTCTTCCTTCATGTCTTGTCCAGAACTCGTCAAAGGTTCTTTCCGTTTCCTCTAGCTGAACCAAAAGCCGCTCAACTGCTGTCACATTGATAAGTTTATCCGGACATAGACGTGCCGAGCGTGGTTCTCCCGGTCGCTTGATACAGTTAAGTAACGTTTCTCCATGTCGGGATGCTGATAACAAGTCATCCTTCAGCACACTGTATTCAGAACACTGTCGGAAAGTAGGAAAATATTAAAATAACACACTTGGCTTCATTTGCCTGTACAGTAACACTGATTCGAGCTGCTAGGTGTTCATGGGAAACCCCCACCTCTGAAATATTCTTGCAAATTATATACAGCAATTGGTCTTAGCTACAGTATATATTTTACTGATGCAATTAATAAGTAAAGTACATGTGTCGTGGGCAAGACTGCTGGCTTAAATAAAAAGCCTACCTTAAATTGGTATACATATTGGTATGCAATTGGTATACATGTACTGGGCTGAGTAATCCCAACTTGTTACAGTAGTAATATTTTTAATCTTTCCTTGTTTACATACATTGCATAGTTCATATCTTAAGCTAAATTGTGCACATTTTACCACTACTGTATATATAGTATGTCTCGGTTCTAATTAGAGTAAATGCTTGGTTACAATGTAATTAATAGACTAATTAAATTACCTGAAATAGATCAAAATAAAAAATTAAACAATTTAATGTGTATTAAATAACAATACAGAATCTGTAAAGAGGACTAACATGGAATTCAAATAATATGCTAGTTAATGAAAGAGGAAAAATCTCTTAAAAAATCTGTGTAAATACAGGAAGTCCCCAACTTATGAACGGGATGCATTCCAAAGAGATTTGTAAGACTGCTGTTTATAACTCTTGAGTCAGATTTGCCATAGACACAATGCTGTAAATGCAGGCTGCATTCCCAGACCAACAAAATTCAACATGCTGTATATAATAATTGTTTGGTGAAAATACACCAGACCCCCTTTTTTTTCTTACCTAAAATTATGTACTGCAGTTGACCCGACTGTCTTTTGATTGTTTTTTTAAAAGATTGAAGAGGTCTAAATAATATAAGAGAGACAGTAATAGGTAATGATACATGAGAGATAGGGATTAATGAACCATTATGTTTCACTGGCTGCTAAAATGTGAGTCTCCTGCTTGATATTACAGTGGCATTTCCAAAAATCATCCTAGGCAAAACTACACCATTCACACCCTCATTTCTTTTTCTCCCATGCTATTGGCAAACATTATTAAGCAAAACCTTAATTTCAACCAGTCATATGATGAATATCTAGCAGGAGAGCCTAACTGGACAATTTTTTCACTTGCATATCTAGTATTTTGCCATGTTCTGACCTCTAAACCTTACTTTTCACAAGGTAGCAACCATGACCCCTGGTGACAGTAAATACAGGAAATTCAAAATGGAAACTAACCATACATTTTTGTTTTAATTATGTTCAGTGGTTTTTCCCATGACGCCAACTCCCTTCTCTAATCTTGTGCCTATTTAGGAATTATTATTAATAACTCACTTGGAGTCACATTAAAGGAGATACTACTCATACGACTCATGTGTCATGCTTTATGGCCAAAGTTTACTTTGCAACGTTTAAAGTTCAATCTGTCACATTTATAGATATCTACGTGACCGCAAAGAGACCATCATTGTCATCTTTTCCCACATTTTATCCTCTGAACACTTCTGATCTATGTTGGTCTTTCTCCCTAAACAGATCTGAATATCTATAGCTTTTTTCTATGGTAATGGGTCACCTTGTTGGTACTAGTACATCAGTAACATTTTTTCTTCTAATCTGCTATATCTTATTAATAGTGGAGTACATTGGGTATGAGAATATGGTTGACTTGGGCAGCACGGGTCATCCTTATTTTGGCCATCTGGACATAATAGCAGCATAGATCATATCAGTAAGATGACGGAGCTGGTTTGTAAAGCAGATCCAGAAGTAAATGGATACTTAGGAGACCATTCGTAAGTCGCCTGATAGTAAGTTGGGGACCCCCTGTACAGTAATTACTGCTTGAACATTGAACTGTTATTTTAGGATTTGTACTAATACATGCAAATGTGTACAGAACTTTCATGTATATAGAGGCACATTACATGAATCATGCACTCATGACTTTAAATAACAAATATTCCCACCTGAGAACGAAGAAGTTCCTCTGTAGAAGCAACATCATTTGGGAATTCTGTCTCCTGCAGCTTCTGGGTGAAAGCTCGCAGTGAGGCACTGATCTCCTGTGTGTTGGCGCTGAACTTCTCCACCGCCTGCAACCAGAGGGAGGTGGAGGGTCTTGGGGTGTTGGGAACTACAAAGGGTACATGCCACCAAATTTATAAGGCCACATAGTAATACATTCCCATGACCAGTTCAACTGGCAGGAGAAGTGACTTTACTTAATGTGAGGAATTTTTGGCAGAAGGGAGCAGGCACGAGTGCTATTGCTCTCTCCACATTTATTAGGTAAAAAAGTAGCTTTAATAGCCCCTTATTTTTTTGCCAGCAAATACATTCAGAACAAAATATAGAAAAATAAATGTTCAATTTGACAATACAAAACTCTTTACAGAAGCAAATCTAAATTTCGACAAGACAACACAGCACAACACAAAATAATGCATATCTCCAACACAGTTGACCTGCATAATCCTTTATATACAATTTTTTTTTTTTACCTGCATACCTAAACATCTAAATGTGTACATATATCCATAATGCCACACTGATACATTTGATGAATCAAAGATGTATTTTGTGTTTCTAAGAATATATACACACTGTTACAAGGGGTAATAAAATTGTGAAAAAAAAAATATCCATGAAAGGATAAAACGGGTAGCCCTGGACGTCCGGAGAGAGGGTTTGGGGGACGACGATACACAGGGGCGTGGCGCCCACGCCCTGGTCGTCAGGGGCGCGGCGACCTGGGACACATGGCACATGTAGGAGCACGCCCTACTGCCCTGGGCCCCAAAATCATAAACGAAGATAAAAAAACAAAAAAAAAAAGGACAGAAATAAATATACTCTGACGTCACCACTGAGTCCCAGGGATATCGGAGTGAGGGACCATCAAGTTGAGCACAGACAGGGTCAGGAGCACCCTGGGCCAGTGGTGGAGGGGCTCACCAGGTCTTGGACCCTCCAAGTACAGCACCAAAAGAGATACTATCCCAACCTAGATTCCAAGCACAGGTGCGGTGGGGGTGTAGCGAGAAATTTAAGGCTATCGGCACCCATGACTTGAAATTTCTCAACAGCCATATTTGATTTAGAATTATCTAACAATTGCATTTCTCTGATATCAGTGGGTGAGAATTGGAGTGTTTGCTTGCGTTGAATGACTGAAGTGGAATTTTAGGGTGCAAGGCCCTATTTGCCTAAAAAGCAGTGACTTAGTATTAAATATTCCTTTCCAAATTGGTTTATTTCAATTATGTTATATTAAGAAAATGAATTACTGACTTAGGGTAGGTTTGGGTAGGGTGTGTGTGAGAGACTGTGTGCGCACCCTCTTGCTGGAGGGTGGGCCTCTATGAATGGAGGGGGCACACACACATCTGTATATGCAAATTTAGGAAAACCTTTATGTACTATAACCTGGCTTAGTTTTAGAAAAGCAGAGAAAATAAATATAAAACATGGATATTGGATAAATGAATGTCACAATTTATGGACACGACAGGGATTTATCAATGAGAAAACGGACCCGACAAGCAACATTCCTAGGAACTAAACACTTTTCATTGCATTATAAGAACCACTTAAGTTCTTAAGTCAGTCACCATCACATCAGATTGTTTAAAATTAAAATGTCCCCTTAAATAAGAATGTTTTTCAACTATTAAAGGAAGCAATTAAAAGAGCAAATTTCCGAGTTATATATCCTGGGGTAGGAATTCTAGGAATTACAGGCGAGTATCTCAGAGGTCCCTTTGGTAATAACTTGGGGGTCCTGAGTAAGGCCCCCCACACCGCAGACCCAGGGGTGGCACTGTACCTGCTTCAGAGTAGCCACGGCGTGCTGGATCTGTCGGGAAAAGAGTTGCTCATTGTAGAAGCGATGGTAGCCGGGGCGGCGCTGTATCAGGGAGAGTAGAGAGGGCCGCGTTAGACACTGGTGAAGGGCAGGGGGTTGAGGGCGCGCCGGGGCACTTTTGAGAGGGGAAGTGGGGAGGGAAAGGGCTCATTGTGGACGCCATGGGTAGTAGTCAGTTCAGTCTAGAGCTGCCAAAATGGTAAAACCAAGAAAACCTATTCCCTATCTAAGAACACAGTTCACAACACCTCGTAAGCCCTACAATATTCAGCCCCAAAAGTAATTAACTGCTGAATGGATTAATAAGTATACATTTGACCACCTTGCTCTCATGACAATTTGTGAAAATACTTTTCAATTAATCTATTTTGAATATTTCGATATACAGTACTGTATATGACAAAAAAAGGTCAAATTCACTGTCTCATGTTGGCAGCTCTAGTGCACTCCACCTACAACAAACGACGAAAATTTAATCCACTCGCAAAGATTGATCATGAACGCAACGTATTTCAGAACAAATTTAAAGTTCGTACAATAGCCCTCAAGAGTGTAAGAAAACATCGAACACAGGTAATGTAGTAGTAGTAGAGTGGATGGAGTCTCGGACATGGAGGGCCAGTGGGTAGCAAAGGGGGGTTATACGAGAGTATGATGCAGCTTGGTGCTATTCATATCAGAAACCTGTTGAGAGAAAGCATTTTCATAGTTTCTACAGTGATTAGAGCATTATTAACGGTTTCATCTATAGTATATATGCACAGGGGTATATCTTCCCTTTTGCTTCAGAGAACAAATGTCTCGAGTACAGCACATTTTTTAACTGTACCACTTGCAGAAGTAGAATGGGGTCAATAATAATAATAATAATCTGTAGTCGTTAGGACAATGCAGTATGGAAACGCACCTATTATTTATTAGAACCCATAATGGGTTATCAAGACCCTCCCTCCTGAATGTATTACAATCAAGCTCCTGCTGTTCTTGTCAAGTTCACCTTTTGATATGCAATCCATGAAGGGTTGCATATTAAAATTATTTCTGGACACAGGGTTTTCATACTTTAAGGCAACTTGGTTTCGTTCATGTTAAGTAATTCTGTAACTTACATTTTAGTAAAATGTTAAGTAAACATCTGGCACTATTCGTCTGCTATAAACATCCTTCCTTCCAAGTATTAAACAGATAAAAACAGAACTCAAGATGGAGGAAGAATTATGCGTGTCTGGTGTCGTGCAGGTCAAACAGTGGGAGGAGTTCCATTCAGGAATTTGTTATTTAGTGGGAGGAGGGATGGGGAACACATGAAGTGATACAGAGAGGCAGCGTCCGCCCAGAAAAAGGATCAGCCAAGGTAATAATCTTAAATTGCATCAAATGGCACAATGTAATTAGTTACAAGATACAGTTTTCAAATTTAATATTTACTGAGCCCAACTGTTTGTATGTAAAAACAAAGCAAATTCGTTATCTTGACACAATAATTTTGGAGAAGCCACAAACACTATTGCTTTCAGAGATTGTGGGGGAACTGGTGTGTTTGACCTGCACACACACACCTGAATCTGGAGGATATAGTCTCCTTCTATGATGGCATCTGAGGCGTGGGTGGAGGCGATATCTTCGACCAGCTCCATGACAGTACGAGCGTGGGCCACCGCTGCCTCCTCAGTACCAGAGAATAGGCGCCGAGGGTTCCTGGCTACTACTCTTCGGCCACGTTCGCGGTCTCTCTGTACGGTGAGGGCGGGGCAGGACACTCATGGGATGGGGATGTTTTTAACAAGGAAAGGTGATAGTGTAGGTGGTCAGTGGCAGTTAATTTCATGAAAGGATATTAATATTTATCCACAGATGACAGACATAAACGACAGGACAGACACGTGGTATAGCAAATATAAGATGAAAAGCACACAATACAGTTATCATGAAGTAAAGAGTGTAATGAGCAGTAAGTAAAGGAGGTATTGAGTATTTTGATACAACAAAGGAAAATAAGGCAAATAACAAATATAAATAATTCCAAATATGTTAGAATGATACCCAGGGATATAAAACATTGAAGCAAATAAAGCATTATAGAGACAGCATTAAATCCATTGTATTAACAGGGAAACAAATAATATAAACACACACACACATTGAGACAAGGTTCACAAATTATTTAAAAGCCCAAGGAATTTTTTTATATTAAATAAAATGTAGAGTAGAAATTTAGAAAAGCAAGGCCCAGAAGAAGTTCAAAGAATATAAAGCAGTATATTTAGGGTAGATTAGTGGGGGCCAGGGAAGGAATGGGGTAAAACAAACTGTTATCAGATAGGATTGAACAAAACCATTAGATAGTTTAATCAGCAGCAATATAGTTTGGCATCAATAAGCATCATGCTACCTTAAGAATCAACACACAACCCTCACATTTACACGTCAGACAAAATACTTTGAGCCCAATGTACTGGACTGATTTTAGAAGTAAACACAGTTATTAGAGTGCAGTGCAGTACTGCCACTAAAGTGATCTACAGTACTACTCCCAGCATTAAGTTACTCACGGTCAAGTCTGTACATCTTAATGATGCCAATAAGAATAATGCAGATAGGATACAAAAGTGGTTTTATAATTTATGTGCAGTCCAATGTCAATTTTTGGTACAAATGGTGTTACAAATATAAATGAAAATTTAATATGAACAATACTCTGGTGTAAGTTTGAATTTGTACCAACGATAAAAGAACTTCCATTACATACAACAAGCATGGTCAACAATATTACATGGGACAATATAAAGAAAATGCTACACAAATTATATAATGTATAACAGACAACAAACGATGGTATAGTATCATCAGGAGGGATATGCAATTGGATGATTCAATTTTAGAAGTATGCAGTATTAATATTATAGGTTAGGTAATAATTGTAATTACGAAGCAATAAGATGCTTATCTTAAGATACTAACAAGGTTAGGTAAGGTCGGTGTTTTCTATGAATCTTTTTAAGGGTATCTATTATGTTAAGTATGTCACCTATGCACATATTTAATAAGTCAATATTGACTTATTAAATTTGCGAGAACGGGTTGCATTAATAAGAGTGCATGACGCGCGCAAGAAGCTCGTGAATATGGAATTCGTGCGCACGAGTGTCATATAGGCATCTGAACACGGGAAATATTTTGGCTTAATGAACCAAAGCTCAAGACTAAGAACAATTTAAGAGGTTATGAAGGACTGATTATTATGGCCCTCCAACAAGAAGCATATGAAAGAATCTGATATCAACGAGACTTTACATACTGTACAAAGTTTTCAGACTTTAAACCAGATTACTTCAAAAGGGTCTAACATGCCACAAGAGGTCAGTCTCAAGCTCACCAAGGCTCAATGGAAAACAAATTGGAGATGCTTTTCACCCAATGGATAAAATGTAAATATTTATTAAGTTATTATGACTGCCATCTAAGATACAGCCTTTCCAGATTTGAGAGTCAACTGACTCCAACCTACACATATGCTAGACAACCAAGAGAACATTTTAGTTCATGTGGATGAAGTGCAAGTTGCACCATTTTACGGTCAAGTCTGTTTTACTAAATTCAAAAGGGATGGCGTACTAGATTTTCCACCAAATACCATATGGCGCCTGTGTCAGGCAGCCAGAAGCAGAATCCCACCAAGAGGAAGGGACATATGCATACATGGGACAAAACGGGAGACGTGGTACAGGTGCAGAGTGATAGCTAATCAGTAGGTGACCTGACATGACATCACGGGTGAGTAATAATGCTTCTGAGCTGAGACTGTCACGTTAGACGTCACATGGAGAGGTCATGTCAGTCGACAGCCTGTCCCTACCTGTCCTCAGGCCAAGTCCGTTCCATCCAGCAGTCGATCCCAAAAACGCAGTCATAAATTTTAACATGCTGTTCGTTCAAAACAGGAATTTTCTCAAATAAAAATCAATACCATTTGATACAGTATTACCATTTTGTACATACAGTACTTAGGCATTGGTTAGGTTAGGCGTTTAGGTTTAGTTGGCAGTTATTTGTATTTGAAGTATGAGGATGAGGCTTTATCAACCCGTCCTCGACTCAAGTCCATTACATCCAGCGCCGTCACATCCAGCAGTCGACCCCACAGATGCATTCATAAATTTTTACACGCTGTTCAATCAAAACGGAAATTTTCTCAAATACAAATTAATATTATAATATTAGCATATTGTGGATATATATATGGGCATAGGTTAGGTGTTTAGGTTCTGTTGGGACGCCAAACCCGCTGTTTATGAATGAAAAGCAGTTTACCCAACGACTTACAAGTGATGACGTTCGAACACTTCCGGAACAAGTGTTTCGCCCACATCCTCTGTTCAAACCACAATTCTAAAAAAAGGCTTCACCCACATACTTCAAATACAAATAATTGGCAACAGAACCTCAACACCTAACCTAAGCCTAACTAGACATAGAATTTTTATGTATACTATTAATTTATATATGAGAAACAAATTTTTAACACACAGTATGTTAAAATTTATGAATGCGTCTGGGGAGGACGGCCCCCAGATTGATTCATAAAGATTAAGCCACCCAAGAGGTGGCACAGGCATGAATAGCCCGTAAACGGCCCCGGATGGCCGCTGCTTTAAATGGCCTAGTGTGAGAACGGGTTGCAGAGAGGTCACGACCTCTCCGTAAGGTGCAGTCGCACCTCCACAGATCTCCAGTATCGGCTAATGATACTGGTAATGGCTGAAAAGGGCCACCACTTACGGGCTATTCATGCCCATGCCACCTCTTGGGTGGCTTAATCTTCATCAATCATGACGGGTTGCAGTCGCGCTCAGAGGTTTTACTAGTTGGAGCAATTGTAGTGTCTAGCAGAGTCAATTGGAAGTGGTCAACACATCACTGCCTTCCCTTGGCGTGTCTCGTAGTCAAGTTGAAGAGGCGGGGGGGGACATAAGTGCTAAGAATAGCAGTAAAGTGTGAGAACTTCTCAAATTGACAGTGCCGTCCCAACATGTGACAAAAGTCAGTAAGAACAGTGACCAGTTGCATTTTGCCAGCGCCAACGAGGCGGCGGCGGCCAGTGACATTACAGCAGTGAGTCAACAAGTATGGCCAGTAATTATGTGCACAGGAACTCAAATGACAGTTTTCACTGATGGTCAGTGAGGCGAGTGTTCATCCACCGAGACGTGGAAATGACTGTCCCCTTCAAGGTATATTTCGTGGTTTTAGCAGTCCTCTGGTTAAGTGTTATAGCCTCCGAGGTCACCGAATGACTGGGGAAATGTACTGACCCATACAGGACCTCGGTGACGACACAGAGGCTGTACTTCACAAGAGACGTCTTGTAACAACTACAGTTAAAAATACAGCGTGTACAGTCAGTATATTATGGGCTATTGATGCCCGTGCCACCTCTTGGGTGGCTTAATCTTTATCAATCATCAATCTGTCAGTCCACTATACAGCACCGGGTACAGTGTCAGTCCACTATACAGCACCGGGTACAGTGTCAGTCCACTATACAGCACCGGGTACAGTGTCAGTCCACTATACAGCACCGGGTACAGTGTCAGTCCACTATACAGCACCGGGTACAGTGTCAGTCCACTATACAGCACCGGGTACAGTGTCAGTCCACTATACAGCACCGGGTACAGTGTCAGTCCACTATACAGCACCGGGTACAGTGTCAGTCCACTATACAGCACCGGGTACAGTGTCAGTCCACTATACAGCACCGGGTACAGTGTCAGTCCACTATACAGCACCGGGTACAGTGTCAGTCCACTATACAGCACCGGGTACAGTGTCAGTCCACTATACAGCACCGGGTACAGTGTCAGTCCACTATACAGCACCGGGTACAGTGTCAGTCCACTATACAGCACCGGGTACAGTGTCAGTCCACTATACAGCACCGGGTACAGTGTCAGTCCACTATACAGCACCGGGTACAGTGTCAGTCCACTATACAGCACCGGGTACAGTGTCAGTCCACTATACAGCACCGGGTACAGTGTCAGTCCACTATACAGCACCGGGTACAGTGTCAGTCCACTATACAGCACCGGGTACAGTGTCAGTCCACTATACAGCACCGGGTACAGTGTCAGTCCACTATACAGCACCGGGTACAGTGTCAGTCCACTATACAGCACCGGGTACAGTGTCAGTCCACTATACACCACCGGGTACAGTGTCAGTCCACTATACAGGTACAGTCCAGTTCACAATGCTGTACAGTAGTCTTTCTAATGCGTTGGCAAGCAATAGTGTCCTAACGCTGTCAGTAAGCATTATTTACCAATGCTGTTCAAGACACCCGTCCTTAATGCTGTAACACTAGCTGACCTTGTGGGCAGCACTATGCTTAGTGCTGGGTACAGTCAACGTTTGCAATATACTGTAATTCCACACTATAACCATCCAAATACGAGCTAAAGAGTTATTACGCATCTAGATTTGGCACCATATGCCATACGTATATATATACAACTTACCCAAAGTTTTTGAGTCTTGGTAGGCAAAATGGAAACATAATTGCCCTCCCAGATAATAGAATAAACTTAACTAAAGCAGCTTAGGAAAATCAAGAGGCCATATAGCCTAAACGAAGATGAACCTGCGTTTGATATGCATTTTCTGTACCTACTAAATTACCCACTGTATTATGTTTTATATGTTCAACAGTTAGTCTGTCTTCTATCTTTTG